CTTGACGCATCCTCCTCCTCTGTCCTGAGCGCCCGGTCGCGCCGCCCTCTTGCGTCCAACGCGTCCTGCCTCCTGCCTGGCATTGACGTCGTACTGATGAGGGCTCCCAGGTGGCGTTCCCCCAGCACGAGTGCCATTGACCACTTAGGCCTGCTCCCGAAACAAACGCCTGGAATATATATTTCTTCATTTTGCCGGTGGCACCCGAAGACCGGAAGCGACCGCATAGTCTGAGAACTGTCTGCATGGCCTCACACCTCCTCCTGATCTGTCCCGCATAGCCTTGATCTCCTGGTGGGCGCGGGCCCAGTGCTCGCATCCCCCTCATCGGCGTGTCCTCGAGCATCCTTTCCCTTTGCAGCTGTCGAGCGATCCCGTCTCGCCCTGGGCCCCGAAGGGAAACCAGGCAGTTGGTTCTGGCAAGGTCCAGGCCGAGTCCCCCCCTCGCCAGCTTGCGCTCCAGCCGCTCCGTGGTAGCGTTGATCTGCTCCGCTATTCTCTCCGCCTGGGACAGTGGCCCACCCCCCCCCAAAATTGGTGGTTCCCGGCAAGCCGAGATACCCTCGCTTCGCCGAAAGCTGACTGGTGCTCCGAGATTTCCTGGCTTACCCCAGTCACCTGGGTGGGTGGGCCCGAAACAACTGCGCGGATCTCAGTGACGTCGTCCATGAACGCGTTGAGCGAGAGATCGCGCGCCTGGTCAGTGACTGGATCAATCGCATCGCGCGCCGTCTGCATCTCGCCCCCCCCCCTCCCCCCCTGGTGCCATTGCCCCACATGTAGGTTGTAAGTATCACTAAATCGCCGCGGGCGCAGGGCGAATTCCATCTGCGCTCCCCGCGCAGTCAGCGCGCGCCATCAGTCGTCGGCGCATTCCATGCTTATCGGCGCGTCGTCGGCCACCTAAATGGCAAACGGCAGGTCCTCCTCCTTCGACGTCGCGAACGCCGGTGCCAGCTTTAGGTTGCGGCTCGTGCGCGCGTTGGCGTCGGTGCAATCGCAAATGCTGGCGAGGGTGCCTACTTGTTTTGTGTTCTCTCTCTCTCTCTCTCTCTCTCTCTCTCTCTCTCTCTCTCTCCTCTCGCTCTCTTTTTATGTTTTTTTTTGTTGTTTCTCTCTCTCTCTCTCTCTCTCTCTCTCTCTCTCTCTCTCTCTCTATCTCTCTCTCTCTCTCTCTCTCTCTCTCTCTCTCTCTCTCTCTCTCTCTCTCTCTCTCTCTCTCTCTCTCTCTCTCTCTCTCTCTCTCTCTCGCAGTGCAATGGCGTTGGCTCTCCCATGATCAATTTCGAAGCCCTCCTGGCGCCCAGCATGGGTATTCTGGTGCATCTTCCGTTTGTACTGAAACCCGATTTGAAGCGCCATTCCCATTGAGCAATATGCATGCGTAGCTCTGTTTCCTCCAATCCCCCGTTTGTCATTGCCCCCCCCTGCAGAGAACGAAATCGACCTGCGCCAGTCCAATTGCGCAGCCTGGGATTGGCGGCACGCAATACAGATGCCCCCCAGCTTGTTCCTGCACCCCGAACTCCCGCCTGGCCCCGCCGCTGTCGACCCGGATCCAGCTGTCTCGTATCTCCCCAAGTAGCGCGTTTTTGTTCGTTTTCCCGTTCGCCCGAAACGCTTCTCCGCCATCAGCCCCCTCTGTCCTGCCCAGCGCATCCCCCGCTGCCCCCCCCCCGATCGCCCTACCCACCCTGTACTTGTGGAGTGAGCTACGCACGTCCTGATCCACCTCGTCCTCGCGCAGCGCCGCTGCTCGCATCTTCTGCCGCCCCCCCCCCCCCAGCTTCTTGTTCGACGGCCCGGGGCCCTTCAGGTCGACGGCGGGGGCCAGAATCGCCCATGCAAGTTTCACTGCTACCCCCGCGGGGGGAGGCCCCTCCTCTTCGCCGCGTCTCTGCCGTACTTCACCATGACTCGCTTGCCCCTCTCCACCTGGGCCCTCAGGCCCCAGTCCGTTGGCGGCGTGGTTTCTGCGACCAGAACGTCATCTTCCTTCTCGCATTCGTCTAGGTCCACCGGCTCAGCTGCCAGCCCCCCGCCTCGCGGGTGCGCCCCCACTTATCGTAGAGATTCCTCTCTGATCCACCAAGTTCGTGCTGGGAAAGAGTGCGTCTTCTTTGGTCCTCTCCCATCCTTCTGATATAATGCCCTGGGCCGGTGCATCTCGCTGAAGCCGATTTTCTCGCGCGCCCTCCACATCTCCCCTGCCATTTTTTCTTGCGACGTCCAAGATGCCCCGTCGATATGTGGCACATGATGTATCTGCGCCAGCTCCTCCTTGATTTCTTTCTCTCTCTCTCTCTCTCTCTCTCTCCTTCGCGTCTGACATTACCACGCCCACTCTCAACTTCATCCTTTCTGCCAGCAGGGAATGCCCAAATAACAGGATGGCTGCTGGTCCCTTGTCCCCCTGCTTCTTCTTGACTTGACTTGCTGCGCTCATCGTTGTTCTGCCTGCACCGCTCCATGTCTTCCGCATCTGGTCTGCTCAGGTCGGCCCTGAAGCTCTCTCCATTATTCCTATGTTCGCACTCCAAGATGACTTCGCTTTTGCGTTTCCTTGGAGCTCAGCAGAACCCACCTGGATCGCACTTAGAGATGACCTCGCTGATGCTTCTCCTGGCTGCTGGAGCGCAGTAGTCTTCAGGTGGCGGCCAAAAGCTCCCACGCAGTCAGCTCTCACACGTCCTTTCCTTAGGCACTCCATCAGCATACTGCCGTTCAATATTTGGCTGCCCGTCGCCGTTTGTGCCTGCTCGGAAAATGAAACTGGCGTTCCAATCCGATGGCGATGTCCAGAGGGATATGGTCTCGATGTCTTCTCGCGTTTGTGTTAAATGCTTGGCCACCCCTTTCAATGCAGCGCACCTTCACAAGCGTCGTCAAGCTCCCGTCGGCACCACTATGTGGTCGATCTTGCTCGCCCGCATCGATTCGTGGTTCACGCAGTAGTAAGCTGGCCCGCACTCGAAGAAGATCGCGACTACTGACAAAAAAGGCCGTGGACACAACAGTCCCTGAAAACAGTGCCGCTGCCGTTTCCACCTCTGCAGCCACTGGTCCCAATGCCGCTGCATGTGTGCTTGTTTACCACCAAGTCGCTGGTGCCCGCCCTGTGCGTTCCCAATTGGTCGTTGGTGCCCCCCCACTATGGTAGTAGACCTGCCGCCCGTGACGCCACGCCTTTCTTACATCCACTTCATACGATTGAAATCATCCCATCATACACGCAGCATCTATTGTGACACCGTGCGCTCTTGTACGCAATCTCACCCTTGCCGTTTTCCCTCACAGTTGTGCAAGTGGTGTGTACTGCGCGTGGGAAGCTCTGTCTGTCATAATATCGCTGGGCACCACGAGCGTCGCACAGCATGCCGTAGTAATCAATTCCCCCTACTTCGCCCCAAACTGCAGTGCCACATGGTGTCTATGATTTGTGTTCATCATCTGCTCTGGCCCTGCCCACCGATGCGTCCCTGTCAACACTATCACATCCCACTCTCGCAGTGCACTGCTATTCTCTTCCCGTCTGTCGATGGCAGTCGCCGCCAACGTGCTGTAAAACACCAATTTCATCAATGCACATATCGAGAAAATGCGGCCGCCATCTATCTTCCGTCCCCCCCCCCGCTCCCTCCCCAGCACGTGCAAGTGTGGGGCTGTAATCGTGTGAGAGGGTTTCGGGACAATCCTCTCTCCGTCGGGTCACCAAGTGCCTGAGCCTCCCAACGCCGACTAGGATGAGAAGGAGGCGGACGAGGAGGACGAGAGCAGGAGCCAGCAGCAGCATGGGTAAGGACGTGCAGGAACGCCCAGAGACTGGCTACTGAAAAACGATGTGTATCCAGCTGCTCCAACTTCTCCATCCGTTCCCACAGATCAAACAGCTATGTTTGTTCCTTTACGAACGGGCGCATGGTTTTCTGATTTATGTCCCTCGCACTGCCCTCTACGTTAGAGCACGCGTCGCGCGCGCGCAAGAACCGCCGTCGAGCAGCCAATCGCCAGCGGTGCAACAATGTGGGGGGGGGGACTGGCATAGTGGCGGGGTCTGAGGTCTGAGCAATCTGAGATGCAGCCCATTGGTCACAGGTCCGAGGCCTGAGGTCGGAGCTGGCGGATCGAATCGTCGGAGGAACAATAGAAGGGGGACTGGCATCGGGTGGGGAACATCGACCTGGAATCGGCGAGACATCGCCGATCGATCGGCGCTAGGCCTCCGATGGCGCATCCGCATGTTCCTGGGCAGAATGGGGCTGTCGGGCCCCATCGGCGATGAAGCCCATCACCCCCTATCGATACCCCTGATTCGTACTGTTGCCCACCCCACGTGGGCACACCCCCGCATCCAACCAAACCAAGGGTTGGACCCAAACGGGCAAGACCCGAGACGGCCAAATGATCGACGAAAAGAAACTACAAGAAACGGCTTTCACGCGAGACGGCACAGCGACCTTATGCGGTGGCTTACGCTGGCAGCCAGCGCGCCACGCTACATTGTCAGCGAGGGCGCTGTGCGACCTTACGCGGGCAGCTTGCGCGCCAACATCCGCGCAAACGACCCCGTTGTCTTGCGTCGCTCGCATGGCCACACTGGTGAACCAAAGAAGGCGCAAATACTGCGACTCACCTAACTAGGGGTGCGTTTTGACCAGAATCTCGGGGCGAATCCAACGGTCGCTACAAAAGCCTCCCGGAAGGCTCGAAAGGGGGAAACCGGGCGAAGGGTAGCATTTTGGAGGCAACTAGTGGGAGGTCTTCGTCAGAAGGAGTAATTGAGGACTAAGCCCCATTGAAAGCTGTTACTCAGGATTAGGTCGCGGGTTAAAAAGGAGAAAACCGGATTGAGCGGGATTCAGCGGGATTAAACGGGATTAAACTGCAATTAGCCACATGTCGGGCCAGGGCGCAGTCAGAATTGGACCTCCCAGGAACTGCACCCGAATCGCAGTATGGGTACCTCTTCCTCCTCCACAACACCATCCCCGCAGCCCCTCCGCGGTGCGCAGGGAGGGGTGCAGCCTCACGGACCCCAGGGCGGCCATGCAGGCGCCCACCTCCGCCGCGCAGCTACGCCGAGGAGGGGCGCCCGACGCGGAACCGATCGGCGGCGCGCCGGCTGGTGAAGTGAGGAAGGGGCCCAGCGAGGAGGCAAGCAAAGGCCATGCATCTGGAAGGACGCGTCGGCAGTCTCGAGGTTGCGCCGTTGGCAACCAAGCGGAACAATAAGGCGTATGCTGAACATCCTGGCTACAGGAGGAGGAAGAGAAAGGAGACATAATCGGAATCGAAGCCGACTGTGTGCTCAGAGGAAGTGCGGCATCTTCTACACCTCAGATGCCCACTCCAGGTGCCCACTTCAGCAAGGAGCCCAAAGACATACAAAGAAATAGATACAACCCCCCAGAATTTCCCGACATCTTTCCACGTTTCCCTGCCCTTTCCCACCTCTTCGGGTCCTGGACCCTGGTGCACTCCCGCAGGACGAATTGGCCATCCCGAACCGTTCTCAGGTGGTCCCGGGGCCCGTGGAGGGCCCCGCGGGAAGCACCGAACGGCGCGAAGCCTCAGGACCCCCATTCCCCTCAGGCCGCGTGTCCCCCCTTGACGGCCTTCCCCCCCCCGGGCGAGCCGCGGGATCGAGGACAGCGCTCCTTCGGTGGCAACTCCTGGGAGCCTCCTATGCCATCCTGTCGGCTCTTGCGAATCGACGCTGGTCGACGCTGGATCGATGCTAGTCGACGCGAAATCGACGCTCATCGACGCTATCTCATCCACTCCGAGACGCTAACTGATGCGAATCAACACTGAGGACAGAACTACGAGGGTACACAAGGCTCCCATGCCTTGCTACCGAGCGCCCCCCCGCGGGGAGCGAGAGGTCGGGATTGTCGGGCCCCCTCGGGCGCTCTGGTCTCGCCTCTGGAGGCCTCCGCTTTTTCGGGGGGGAGACGTGGGCCTCTGGAGGCTACTACGACGTCTGGGCCCCCCTCGCTCGGACGCCTTGCACGTGTGTTTTTTTGTTTGTGTGTGTGTGTGTGTGTGTGTGTGTGCCTCGCTCGTTTATTGCTTCGCGAGGTGTTCTAAGATACTCCTCGATGGTCCCCACCGAAGAAAAAAAACACACGTCAGCACGATGTCGAAAGGCGGGGGGGCTCCAGGCGATCTCCGGGGAGAGGAGTGGAACTCGGAACTCGTAATTCGGAAATCCGCGACAAGATGACAGAGGACATCGTCGCCGAAGCTGCGCACTACGCTGAAGACGCCATGCAGACCGAGAGAGAGGAGGGGAGGGGAGGAGAGGGGGTGGAAGCGAGGACGCAGGACAGAAGGTTGCGGCGAGCGAGGAAGGGAACGTGAGAAAGAGAAAACCTTCTCAGAAGGCGGCGGAACTTCCCGTGTCCTCGGGGAGGCTCGGGCAACTTCTCAGAAGGCCTGGGGACTTCCGAACCTCTTGTCCTGCGTCCTCGCCGCCCTCCCCTTTCCCCTGGGCTCGCCGCCCAGGGAGGGGAGGGAGGCGAGGACGCAGGACAGAAGGAAAGGAGGACAGGTGACGATGGACAAGAGGGGCGATAGGAGCGTCTCCTCCACGACTGTCAAGGTCACATGGAGACGAGGAGGACGACTGGCATGTAGGCATGTGGGAGCGAGCACATGAGCAGTACCCAGGAGCTCAGAATCTCGTCTTCCCACGCATGGGTTACCGTGCGACGGCTGTCGAACTCTCTCACCCAGCTCCCCCACCGAAACCTACACCTACACCTCACCCAAGTCCCTCTACAGACTCGGAAACATTTCTCCTTACGCCACATGAAAACCCCAGTAAACAACCGAATGACAAAAGAAACCTTCCGCGCCCAACCCCGTCCGCCTCAGCGGACATGTGGTCCAAACGCCCCTCTCTGTAACATTCTAAACGGGCTCGCGCCGCGGGAAGGGGCCTGGTGTGATCCACGCCTTCGATTCGAACTTTATTAACGAAAGTGGGTGCAGCCTGGTTTGGGCAATTCTGCTTGGGACATCCTCGGGATCTGCCTGGTTTGGGACATGGTTCGGCTTGGTTGACTGGGCGACGCAAGCCGCCTGAGACATCCTGCGATTTTGCTCGGTGTGGCCCTTGGTTTGGTCTGGTATGGGCCCGATTCCACCGGAGACCTTCTAATAATTTCCCCGATTTGGCCTGGTTGGGGCTTGGTTTCGCATGAGACGTCATCGCAATTTGCCTGGTTTCGCCTTGATTTCGCTTGGTTTGGGCACGGTTTCGCCTGAGACGTCCTCGAAATTTGCTTGGTGTCGGCGCGGTTTCGCAGGTGACGTTCTCGCAATTTGCTGTGTTGCGCCTTGGTTTCGCGTGGTGTGGGTTTGGTTTTCCCTGAACTGTCCTCATGATTTGGCTGGTGTCGCCTGGTTTGGGCCCGGCTTCCCCTGAGACGTCCTCGCAATTTGCCTGACTTCGCGTTCGTCTCGCCTGGTTTGGGCCCGGTGTCGCATGAGACGTTCTCGCAAATGCTTGGTTTCGCTTGGTTTCGGCGCAGTTTCGCCTGAGACGTCCTCCCAATTTGGTAGGTTCCCCCTGTTTGGGGCGCGGTTTCGCTTGAGACGTCCTCGCCATTTGCTTGGTTTGGGGCCTTGGTTTTCGCAGGGTTCTTGCAACGTCCCTGGTTCCCTCATATCAGGAGAAATCTCTGCAAGTTGCCCTCTCTCCTTGTTTGCACTGCGGGACAAAATGCTTATGCTTTCCATTCCCACCCCGCGGTCGCAACATAGATAAAACACGGTTTCGCAGAAAATGCCGGAACCCAGAGAACTGCTCGAACACATATAGGTTTGAAAAAAGAAGTTGGAGTGGATCACGCGGCCCTTGCAGAAGTAAACCATACGGGCGGCGCATTTTCAACTATGTGTTCGTTTGGGGGTGAAAGCAGGATGTCCCCCCAGAGGGGGTGGCGTTGTCTCCCCAAACACGACCCCCTCCCGAGGGGGGGGAGTGCCGCCCTAGGGGCCTCTCCTTGGTAGAGCGGTCGGCGAGACCGAGACACTAGCATGCGAGAAGGCGAGAACCAGGAAGTGGCCAGCGTTCGGGCGAGAGCGCAAGTCAAGGTCGTCGTCGTGGTGGTCGTCGTCGTTATCGTCGTCGTCAAACTCAATGTCGTCGTCGTGGTCGTCGTCGTCGTGGGGGGGGGGCAGCGCAGGGAAGTATCATTCATTCACACACGTGGCGGGCGTAAACTTTCGTAACGTCATGGCCCCGTGGTGCTCCCAAGACATATTGGGTGTTGTGGGTGTTGTCGATGTGTGTATGACAACGAACTGACATTGCACACACGTCGAGGGTGCAAACACGCGAAACAGGACGGATTGCACTGAGAACACATACTGGCCTACACTCTGCACTGCCGTGCTACAGTATAACAGGGGCAATGGGTGTGGCCATCCGAAGCGCAATGTGATCGGCCACTGTAACACATAGTGCAACAATCGCTCACAGAAATACTCCTGTTATGCGGCATTGGACCTCCTGTTATCTGCAATTCAGCTTCCTGCTTCCCCCCTTTCACCCCTCTCACCCAACGCCCCCCCGCCCCGAGACCGCTGACGAACCTCCAATTAGCCGCTCAACAAAAACCGCAGGAGCCTCCAAGGTGTCTTCAAAAGAAGGCGGTAAAGCAAGAAAAAGAGGTTGGACGGAACATGAGTCACAATACCACGACGAGGAAACTCACAGAATTCTCTAATACCGAATGCTGAATCGAGACTGACGGGCCGCTGGGCCGGCAAGGGGGATCAAAGCGCAACTCTGGGCGAACGAATATAGAAGCACACGTCCGACGCTTTACGGTTTAGATCTGTTATGCTGCCAGTCGAAGCCGGGGCCAAATCAAGAACGGCACTGGGAGGGCAACGCCCGCCCGCCAGGCCGAGACCCAGGGCCCAGGGGACAGCCGCGCCGAGAAATGGGGCGCAGGGGCAAGGAACGAACGCAAACGAGCGAGTTCCTCCTCCTCCCCATTTCCTCCTCCTCCTCCTTTTCCCCTTCCTCCTCCTCCTCCTTCTCCTCCTCCTCCTCCTCAACCCTCGCGGGCATGCTGAAACCACACAAAGCCACTCCAACTCCAACATGGCCTACCGAACGCCCTGGACGTCTCTACTCCGCTGGGGGTCAAGATATATAAAGTCACGCTGCGAGTGAACGGGGGCGACACGGGAGAGCAGCGGGGAGAAAGGAAAACAGCAACGGCCAGGCAACAAGTGCACGAACAGACCCGTGCGCAGCCAGCTCTATTGATATCCGCGGCAGGCACCAGGCACCAGACGTCATCTGTCAGCACGCGGGGGCGCCCCAGCCGCAGGTCAAGAATAGGTACAACGCCCCATCGTCGATCAACGAACTGGACGCAGCTAACTTTTGAGGATGACAAGGGGGACGGGGAAACGAGGGCCCACCCCGGGCCAGATCCAACCATTGCAATAATTAATAGGACGCGCCGACGTGGCAATTTACATCAAGGCCGACTGCCAGTTCAAGCCAAGCACCAGATCGGGGGGTCCAAACACTGCGGCGAGCACAAGGAGGCAGACCAGGCAAAGGCGCGTCTGCCACTTGCATGGGCCACAACGCTGGCACTGGTACATGGCGCGCTTAATCTTCCGCGGCCTTGGGCCCGGCGGCTCCGATAGCGCGCCTGTGCCCGACCTCCCAGAGAGCCTCGCTCAGGAGCCCGAGGCCCCTCAAACGTACCATTCCAAAAAACTCCCCCTCTTCCGCCTCGCTTCAACTCTCTCCCATGCCCGCTGTGGACTACATCGACCTGAAGCCCCCGAAAGTCCGCAATGCCGGGGATCGGCTCACCGCCACCGCGGTGACGAGCTACCGCCACACGCTCGGGCAGCTGCTATGGCTAGCAGTCCAGACCCCGGTAAACATCGCCTGCCCAGGGAGCTTTGCAGCCCGCCGCACCAACGTCGCCACCGCGGCCGACGCGAAGACCCTGAACAAAACCGTCGCCTACGTGCACTCGACCGCGAACTTCGCGATCGCGCTGAATCGCAGGCTCGTCGAGCTGATGACGGCCACCACCGCGTGTTTCAGCGACGCTGCGTTCGCCGACGTGGACGGGGTCAAGAGCCAGTGGGGCATGGTGATGGGGCTCACTCACCGCCCGCGCGATGTCGTCGGCAGCCGCTACGACCTTTGCCTACCCATGGCCTGGCACTCGGGCGCGGTCAAGAGGTCGGCGAAGTCGACCCTCGCTGCCGAGGGCTACGCGACCCTCGAGGGATCGGAGACCAACATCTGGTTCCGCCAGCTGCTGACCGAGGCCTACAACCCCAAGACGGCGCTCGAGCAGATCGACGTCCTCGTCGACAAGCGCCCTGGGGAGATCTACAGCGACAGCAAGGGTCTCGTGACGCACATCGCTTCTGATGTGGGCCAATCTACCGACAAGCGGTTCCGATTCGTCGCCTCCATGATCAAGGAGGCCGTGCACCAACACTGCACTCAAACTCAGCTGGATCCCGACCTGGGCCATGGTCGCGGACGCCTTGACCAAGGCGATGGAAGCCGGCGCCCTGCTGGCCTTCTTCGGGGCCCGCAAGCACAACTACGGAACCCTGCAGCCGAATGCCGCCGTGCTCGCCTCAGTCCTGTTTACCTGCCTCGGCAAGGTCAAGGGACAACCTACGCCTACGCCGACGGTGCCGGACTACAGCTTCTACATTTGCCTGTTGACGTTCACGCTGGTCCTCGGCACGACTATCGGTTTCGGCATCTTCATGACGCTCTGGACGATCATGGAGCAGAACAACATGATCGCTACCGAGGAGCACGTCGCCGAGGCGAAGACAATGGGCGAGCATCCCGGTTGGGACGGCCGCGTGATTGGCCGGCGCCGTAACATTCCAGCTACCATCCCCGAGGATCGTGACCACGACGGCGACATCACGATGTGCCCCTCGGATGGACACAGCAGTGCGCAGGCATCGAGTTCAGCAGCATCGGCTTCAGGCGTCTCTTTCGGACACCACCCATCGCAACCGCCGATATCAACACCACCGCCGCCACCGCTGCCGCCAAAACCACCGCCTGCCAGCGCACCACCTACCGCAACATCAGCACGATCGAGGTCAGCGGGATCTCAAAGTTCGGGTTCAGCCCCTACCTCACCATATCGAGTTCATCGAGTTCAATATCTGCGAGTGTAGTTTCGTGGAACGGTTCCTCACCGACGGTATCGTCGAACGAGATGCTCAACTGTGTGACGCCGTCCCCCGCCATGATTCAATGATTTCAAAATCGGACATAACCCGCATAGCGTCTACATTAGCTGCAGGACCTGCAAGAAGCACTCGTCATGGCTTCTCCGGTTCTACAGGAACAGCAATCCCTCACGAACTTAACCGAAGGCGTGATGAATGATCTCATGGGCCATTGGAGGAGGCCCACGGGCATAGACTGCTGGCGCGGACCTGACCTGATGGACAAACCGACGAAGCCCAACAAAGAAAAATTAATCCCGCTTGGTGTGCAGACGGCAGGTTAGCCGGTCGAACCACTTAATATCATGCTGCTGTTGCTAGACGGTCGCATCTTGCGACCCCGCTTACGTGAGTCCGCATTGCTGCTCCGTTTTCACACACGGCTAGAGATTTACGTGAGTCTGCATTGCTGCTCAGTTTTCGCTCCCGGCTAAAGATTCACACGTAAATCCGCATTTAGAGAAGCTTCATTCAGTGTGCACAAGTTTTGTTTCACAGATATGATGACGATCGCATCCATTCAGAACTTATCTCGCCAATATATTTTCTTGGGGGTTTGCTGCTTCGCGATCGAACTCCTGCTATTGCTAGCCTTGCCGGGTTTTGATTATAGCGCCGGCGGCGTTGAGAGCTGAGAATATCCTGCAGGTCGCGTGCAGCGCATCCGCTTAAGTGCCAGAAGGGCTGCCTGCAATGCAAGCCGTGTCGAGCCGTTTGCTCGCCTTCTGCCAGCACGCCTTGCACTTCGCTTAATGAAGATAGCGCCAGGCTTATATGCCCGGCTGCTCTTGCTCTGGCGCCTGGTGCGCCCGCCCGGCGCCGCTTGAGCACCGTGCAGGAGGAGTGTGATTCATTCCAAAAGACTCGCCCTCTTCCGCCTGGCTTCCGCTCTCTCCTATGCCCGTTCTGCCCGCAACCCCTATTTCTCAAACAGGGCCCTTGGCCTTAGAGCTACGCCAGTTGTTCGAGCCGCGCTCACAGCAAAACCATCCCCGGCGCTGCTCGCCGATCCATATCACAAAACACACGGCTGAGGGCAAAGAAACGAAGGCGCACCAGAGGCGCCCCCTCCGCCGAAGATGCATGTGGGTATTGCACTTGTTCTGATCTTAGCACGTGGTGCCCCCAAGCCGACGCAGCAGGGTTCACGCTGTCCCTATTGACGCCCTGGGTGAACCACTCCTTGCACCAACGATGCAGCTCCTGACGCGCGAGGTGCCCGCAGCTAGGCCCCACGCGCACATAAGCTGTTCACGAACCCGTTGAAGAGATGAAGGTGACGGAGACCGAGCTGGTGTCTCCGATCTTGTGGCTTCACCTGGGCCGAACACGCGCGACCTGCTCCTCTGGAATGTTGATGTCCCTGAACCGCGCGCAGATCCCCACGGCCCGCAGATCTCCCGCGGCCTGCAGCCCGAGGGCGCACCAATTTGCTCGATGTCGGCTGCCTGCCTCGGCCCGGCCAGCTCAGACTGGTGGCGGGCCGGGTCCGCCCTGCTCCTTGAACGGTGGGGCGACGGCCGAAGACTCGTCGGGTTCGCAGGGTAATTCTAGAAGGTAGTAACATCGCGGCTAGAAAGTACAAGCGGAACATGTTCGTCCTGGGTATGTGTTTGCAGCCGGACCAGGTGCTAGTTGGACCCCCATGATAACTCGGGAATGGGGTATACGCTGGGCATGTGATAATGAGGTGTATGGTATAGGTCGCCGGCCGTATCAGTCCAACGTGGTAAATAACACGATGATGTAAAGCATGTTGAAGGGCTCGCAATAATACATTACAGCCCAACAGACGCATCCGTCCTGTGAAATGCGTAGAACTGGAAATGGAGGACGCCGCAACACATCCGCACACCTCCCCGAGACTGGCAAAGCCAAAAATTGATGAGCGGCACAAAACGGCAATCTACAGCGCTTCCTAGTAACCGAGGAATTTCTCGCAGCAAGATGTTGCGGCATCGAGACAATTGTTGTCTTTCCGCTTCGGCGCCATCGAGACAGCCTGAACTGCTTCAACTGAAGACAGGAAGAGGACAACAAGGTTGAGGTCAAGGAGGAAGTTCAAATTCGAAGCGTCTTCAGACAAGACCCAAACTGGACCAGATTCTAAGGTCAACTTCATCTCTGCTGCGCTGCTGCACCAGCATGGTGGCGGGGTTTCTGGCAGGCAGCTGGATAGAAAATTTCAGATCCACGGGTGTATGGGGTACGGCGCAGACCTCGGATGGAGACGAAGACCAGATCGAGCCGACGAGGCGGACTAGGAGGGGAAAGCTCCATGCTTCCTAGATTTGAAACCAAATCTATGGCCTGATGGAAACAGGTGTTCGACCTCTTTCCGGGGTGCCACCTTTTCATCCTGAACCGTGCTGTGACGACCACGGGGGCCAGGAAGTCGCGCTCTCCTCTTCGAGGTGAAGAGCTCGGACTGCTTGCGCCTGTTCTGCTCCTCTTGTGACGCTGTCGTCGCTACGGCCAGAAATCCTTGCACTTCTGGTCAGGACGCACTCCAAGACTGGCCCACGGAGGAGGAGGAGGAGGAGGAGCAGGAGGACCACAGCAAGCCAGAGCAAATCCGAGATGCAACAACGATGCTGCAGCACCCCAGGACGGCGAAACACGTCCAAACCCCTTTCTCGTCGCACTGACTGCAGGCGTCTCCCCAAAGCCTGGGCCCGTTGACTACAGCCGGACCTAGGCCAGAAGAACATCCCTCAAGAACCTGAGACCCTCTGTCGGCCAAAACTCACAGAACATCCAAGGGTACCATCCCCAGGATGCAAAAGAACATCCAACAAACACAAAGAACACTAGGGGACCCTCCACGAGACGACTTCGATCCTCTCCCTCGGTCTGACTTTACCACGAGCCATCGCGGTGAGCCGCCATGCCGAGGTTCTGGTCGAACTTCTCCTGCACCTCGATGCGCGCACGAAAGAATCAACTGAACAATACGCGCGCACACACATACTCACACATGCACGAACACGCACCCGCACCCCCACCCACACATGCACACACAAACACACACACACACACACACGCACACGCACGCACGCACGCACGCACGCACGCACACACACAACCACAACACACACACACACACGCACAAACACACACACAAGTACTCTTCCTCTCACACACACACGCGTGCACTCCTTCTACGTTGCTCCCCCTCCTCATCCTGCTCCTCTTCATCCCTCCTGCTTATCCCTCCGCGCCGCATTCCACCCTTTTTCCAACTCCTCCAACTCCACTTTCCGTCCCGCCCTCTCCCCACTCCAGGCGACAGAGAGAGAGGGTGGGGACAGCAGGCATGCCAGCCAAAGCAGCCCGAGAAAGCATGCTCAATCGTTTCTCCCCCCCCCCCCCTTCGCGTATTGGACGGAGCACAAGGGGTGGAAGCGGTTCGCCCTTTTGCGTTCACGCGCGGCGATCAGGTAAAGCGCGCCATTTATGTCCGACCAGAAGGGAGGGGCAAGCCCGCAAACCTGCCTGTACGCACAACGCAACCAGACCACATCCCCCCCCCCCCAGACTCCACCAGCGCTGTCTGAGCGCAGCTGCGCATTTACCATGACAGCCGTCCCCTCCCCTCCTCCTCCATCCCTCCCTCTTCTCCTCCATGCTCCGTCCTCCTCCCTCGTCATCGTCCTCGTCCTCGTCGTCGTCCTCCTCCTCCTTCTCCCCGCCCATCCATCAATACTCCTGCTCCCTCCTCCCGATCTGGAGGCCTCATGAGGTCCAAAACATGACCAAGAACGTGCAAACATAAAATCATCGCTCCTCGCTCCCCCGTGCTCCCCACTCATCGATGATCGTCCCCAAGTCCTCCCTGGATTCTCGATCTGGTGTCCTCGGCCCTCATAAGAGGTTCGGTCTCCGTCTCCTTCCTTCATCCCTCGTCCTTCGCCTCCTCAGTGCCGCCCGCCGCATGGGCCCGCGTGAGCCAATGTCCTGGCACCGCACGCGCACAACGAGGGGCGTTCATGAACGAAAAGGAGAGGAGATGGAACCAGACCTCCATCGGACTGCTTTTATTGCGATAGCAACATTGTTCCTCGATCTCGGCCTTTGTGGGCCGTCGCCGGGCCACGGGACATTTGGGGGCCGCGGATAATTCGAGGAAGGGGGAGTGAGGCTAGAGGAGGAAGAGGAAGAGCACGAGGAAGGAGGGAAAAGACGAGGAGTGAAGATCGGCGAGGGATAGGGAGACGATGTCGGAAGATAGACGAGCAGTGATGACGATGAAGATTCAAGGAAACGGTGGACGCTAAGGGGCCGTCCGATCCGACTGACACCAGCTTAGTCCAATGGTCAAGCTGGATTGCGTAAGCCAGCTCTCGACACAGATATGGTAGCGCCAATGCCGAAGATCATCTCCCAGGAACTGCAACTTGATGGAGGCGGCTGGTTGGAAACTCAGTGAACCAAGGTTAGTATCGAATGCAAGGAGGCGGCACCATTGAAGCTGACCCTAACCGAAGGGCTGTCGCTGCCTTGAAGACGAGCCCGCTGCTCTTGGGGGGGCCAGCGGTGGCATGCATCTATACAGCTCCACGAGTAGGATCAAGACGGAGGAAGAGGATCGACGATCGAGGGTTGAGGCATTTGTAAGTTTACATTATATGCCTGGCCTCCCGAGGCCTGCGCAGACCTCTGGGGAAGGAAGAGATGGACGTGAATTGAGCAGGGCTTCCTGTATTCACGTTATTTTTCTCGGCAAGCAAGCGGGTCGTCGCCGTCGTCGTCCTCCTCCTCCTCCTCCAAATCCCCCTCCTCCACCTTCCTCCTCTTCCATCTCTCTCCACCTCCCTTCTCCCCCTCCTCCACCTCTTCCTCCTCCTCCTCCTCCTCCTCCTCCTCCTCCTCCATCTCTTGACCCCTCCTCGTTCCCCTCACATCCTCCACCACGCATGGTCACGACTCCGAGACGTCGTCGGTTCATCGCACCAGTTGCAACCGCCGCCGCCGCCGCACCGACCACCAGAGCGCGGGGCGCCCGCTCGTACTTCTGGAGGAAGAGCGACATCGACCGGCTGCACCTCGGTGGGAGGGGCTCGGCCTTCCCGGCCGGGACCGCCAGCCAGCCTCCCTGAGCATCAGGTCGGGCATGTCCTCCTACAGGAGGATTTTGGACGGCAAATAAAACATAGCCATAAACAAAAGGTAAACAAATACAGGAGAAATCGTCCCCTGGCTATATTTTACTATTTGGGAATTTTCCTTCTGTAGAGGGACGTGCCCGACTCAACCTTGGCATGGGGGAAACGGGCCTGAGGGAAACAAGTCCTGCACCCCGCGCCCCAGGACGAGATCTTCATCGTGAGCCGTTGTCTGACAGCCCTGGGCCCTGTGGAGAGGGCCCAGGGAAGCCAGAAGCGGCGAACCATCTCAGGACTCGTGTCCCTCAGGCCCCGTTTCACCCATGACGACTACAAACACCTCCGCCCGGGGGCCGCCGCTGGGAGAGGGGAGCGGACGGGGAGGGATGCCGAGGCTTCTGGCGATGTGATGTGTTCGCAGCGTGGGCTCCCAGAGGTCTCGGCCCGTTCCCGAGGAGCGGCTATGGGGCGGCCCCCCGGGGCCCGGCAGGGGCCCCTCGTAGACTGGCCAGGCCAGAACCTCTGGTCCAGATGTGGCTCACGACGACAGGAGGCCCGGTCGGAGCTCGCGCCTATCGGATCGAGGTTTTGGGATGTCGATCGGCAAATTCTGGCAGTCCGTGCCTTGTTTGGCCCTCCTGCATAATTAGCGGAGCGGAGGGGAGGGGGCCTCCCAGACCAACATCCTGACAAGAGCAAGGCGGAAGGGGGCGTCGTTCTCGACCTCTGGTGGCAGTCAGCGAGAAGACGCAGGACGAAGCAACAGCCTGCGGGGAAGGGGCGGACGGGGCAGTCAGCGAAAGGACTCAGGACGAAGCACCAGCCCGTGGGGAGGGGGCGGAGGGATCCGGGGGCCCCGCATGGGAGGAGCACGGGGGTCGGGAGATTGAGGAGCGAGGCGCTGGCTCGCGTCATGGGGGGCCTCTGGGGGCCTCCGCAGACATCTGGCCTCCGGAGAGCTCCGGAGAGGGCAAGGGGCAACGACAGGGGGAGGCTGGCGTAGGGGGGGACACATCGGCCGGGAATCGGCGATGCGTCGCCCACAGATCGGCGATCGTCCCCGAATCACGACTCCGCAGGGTCCTGGGCAGGCGGGAGCGATCGATCCCCTGTCGGCGATCCATCGGCGAATCGGGGTCGATGCGTCCCCCCCTGTGCCCATCCCCCCCCCCCTTTCGTTGCCCCTGCCCCCGAGGAGGGGAGCGCACGCTTCGAGCCGGGGGCTCCGAGCTGCACCTCCCCGTCGGACCTGCGCTGCCGCTCTCCCCTCACCACCCCCGGGCCCCCTCCTCCTGGCCTGGCCTGGAGTGGGAGGCCGCGAGCTCCCCTCCTCTTCCCTTTGGAGCCGTCGCTGCACCCATCCTCCCCCCTCCTCCTCCTCATCATCCATTCCTTCTCCTCATACGATGGAACTCAGTCCACAAGAAGCCTTCTACAAGAAAGCCAACCATGTATTTTCGGTGTGGGAACGTCACGCCTTCCATTGCAAAACCATCAAAATCATCAAAACCTAGGGCACCTTGGAGGCAAGCAGGGTGTTTCTTGGCGTCCAGGCCGAGAAACACCCTGCAGGCGGGTAATCCGAAGGGCGGGCAGGGCGCTTCGCCGGAGGCTTCCCTACCATTTATGATCCTAGAGCTTCGAAGGAGTTGACAGTTTCACGAATGGACAGCGGGTTGCTTTCAAAATGTAGCTCTCGCCTCAGCGCCGCGCACTTTCTCCATCGGCGGCGAAGCAGTGTCGGCTGCACCAGCGATAGACCTAGTCGGGGGCACCGAAAAGCGAATTGGCCACTCAGCGCCGCGCGCAGTTGTTTTAACCATCTGCAAGGGTTTCACGAAGTGAGGGCGGGCCGTTTTCCAACTGTGGTTTGTGGTTCCCGCCCTAGCGCCGCACGCACTCGTCTCAAACAATAAAAAGGGTTCTAGCGGTTCCATTTCAAAGTGTGGCTCTCGCCTCAGCCCCACGCACACTCGCTTTAACAACGTACAACCGTTTCACGGATTGAAAGCGTTTCCTTTTCAAAATGCGATTCTCGTCTTAGCGCCGCGAACTGTCGCTTTAAAACGTTGCAGGCGCTTCGCGACATGAGGCGGCTTCTTTTGAAAATGTGGTCCTGCCCTCAGCGCTGCGCACGTTCGCTTTAACACGTTGTAAGTGCTGGCACGATTCAGGATTGTCAGGGCGCAGCAGTTACGTTAGATCGCGGTGTTGGAGTCACAGGAATGGTTTTCTGGCACGATTCAGGATCGTCAAAACGCAATGGTCAGGTAGATTCATGGCGTTGAGGTCTGGAGAATGGTGTTCCAGGCACGCTTCACGATGTTCAAGTGGTTGTCTCCCACCGGGGCAGTCCCCTCAGTGGAAATGAATAGTTGCAGGAGCCTATCAAGAGACAGCTTGGAAGGAGGGTTCCTTCCAACATTGTTAAACATTGGGTTTGCACTGGTTTGCATGGGTCCTCCTCCTCCACATCATCATCATCATCATCATCATCATCATCATCATCATCATCATCATCATCATCATCATCATCATCATCGTCATCGTCATCGTCATCGTCATCATCATCATCATCAGCATCGTCATCGTCATCATCATCATCATCATCATCATCATCATCATCATCATCATCGTCATCGTCATCGTCATCGTCATCATCATCATCAGCATCGTCATCGTCATCATCATCATCATCATCCTCTTTTCATCGGGGGGCAAGGGGGTCCTCCTCCTCTTCGTCCTCTTCTTCCTGTGCCTCCTCCTCACTATCCCTTCCTTCTCCTTATTCAGAGATCCTCCGTGTCCAACCCCGAGGCCAATCCACAGGGCGGGCTGGGCGTTTCGCCTGAGGCACCCCCACATTTATGATCCTGAAGCTTATGCGCTGCCGACAAATTCACGAATGGAGAACGGGTTGCTTCCAAAATGTGGTTCTCGCGACGGCGCTGCGGACACTTGTTCTCAACGTGTGCAGCAAGGGTTTCACGGGTTGAGGGCGGCCCGTTTTCCAATTGTGGCTCTCGCCTTAACGCAGCACGCACTCGTCTCAACAAAAAACAAGAGCTTCACGGATTGAAGGCGGCCCCTTGTCAACGTGTGGCGTTCGCAGTAGCCCCACGCACATTCGCCTTAACATGCGCCCCCCCCCGTACAGCGTTTCGTGGCCCCGTAGGGAGCTGCAGTAGCCCGCCCGCGTGCGTCAGCCACACCCAGTACAGCGTTTCTTGGGCCCATCGGGAGCTCCACCGAAGGCCCGAGTGGCACCGCCCGCATGCGTCCCTCCCCTCCCATGGCCCAGTAGGGAGCTCCACTTACAAGAGCTTCACGGAGTGAAGGTCCTTCTTTTACAAAATGCGATTCTCGCTTTAGCGCCGCGCACTGTCGCTTTAAAACGTTGCAGGCGCTTCGCGGATTGAGGCGGCTCCTTTTGAAAATCTGGCCCTCGCCTTAGCGCTGCGCACGTTCGCTTTAACACGTTGTACCAGACACGGCGATCACATGACTCAGGGCTGCCAAGGCGCAGCAACTACGGTAGATGGCGGTGCTGGAGTCCCACGGATGGTGTTCTGCCACGACTCGGGATCTTCAAAACGCAATGGTCAGGTGGATTCGTGGCGTTGAGCTCTGGGGAATGGTGTTTCCTTGGAGGGGGCACGCTTCAAGATGTTGAAGCGGTTGTCTCCCAACGGGGCAATTCACTCAATGGAAATGAATAGTTGTAGGGGCCTCTGGGGAGGAGGCTTGGAGGGAGGGTTCCCTCCAACATAGTTAAACCTTGGGTTTGCACTGGTCCTCCTCCTCATCGTCTTTATATCGAGGGGGCAGGGCGGTCCTCCTCCTCCTCGTTCCCCTCCTCCTCTTCGTCCTCCTCCTGCTCCTCCTCATCACTATCCCTCCCGGCTCCTTATCAATATTTCCTCCCTGTCCCACCCCAAGGCCAGTCCAAAGGGCGGGCTGAGCGTTTCGCCTGAGGCTTCCTTACCAATTAAGATCCTGAAGCTTATGAGCTGCCGACAGGTTCACGAATGGAGGACGGGTTGCTTCCAAAATGTGGCTCTCGCGTCGGCGCCGCGCACACTCTTCTTAAACATTTGCAAGGGTTTCACGGGTTGAGGGCGGGCTGGTTTCCAACTGTGGCTCTCGCCCTAGCCCAGCACGCACTCGTCTCAAAAATTTGCAAGAGCTTCACGGATGGAGGGCGGTTCCTTTTCAAACTGTGGTTCTCGCCTCAATGCCTCTCACATTCGCCTTAACACCTTGCAAGAGCTTCACGGATTGATGGTGCCTCCTTTTCAACATGTGGTTGTCGCCATCGCGCCGCGAACTGTTGGTTTAATACGTTGCAGGCGCTTCGCGGATTAAGGGCGGCTCCTTTTCAAAATCTGGCTCTCGCCTTAGCGCTGCGCACGTTCTCTTAACATATTGTACCAGACACGGTGTTGGCACGATTCAAGGATTGTCAGGGCGCAGCAGTTACGTTAGACCGCGGCGCTGAAGTCCCAGGAATGGTTTTCTGGCACTACTCAGAATCGTCAAGACGCAGTCAGGTGGATTCGTGGCGCTGAGGTCTGGAGAATGGTGTTATTTGGCACGCTTCAAGAGTTTCAATTGGTTGTCTCCCGACGGGACAATTCCCTGAACGGAAATGAATATTTGAAGGTGGCCTATGAGGAGGAAGCTTGGAGGGAGGGTTCCTTCCAACATTGTTAAACCTTGGGTTTGCACTGGTCCTCCTCCTCCTCCTTCTCTTTTGATCGAGGGGACAAGGGGGCTCTCCTCAGCTCCTCCTCCTCCCCCGCCTGCTCCTCCAGGATCAACCAAGCCAAGTTTCAGCAGGAAGCTTACGCCTGTTACTGGCTACGCGGGCTCGCGCCGCAGGCCTGGATGGCTGTGCCAGCCGCTCCTGAACATCCAGACCTCCATG